AACTCAAACTTAATTTTAAGAACCAGAAAGGAATTTTGCAAAATGTCGAAGGTCTCTAAACTGAATTGTATTCATATTTCTTCAAAAAGCTCTATTGCGGATTGAATGGAATGGAACAAATTGGGGTCGTTGGGGTTTAAACATAATTCGTTCTCTTAGTTTCCTTGATACTAAACCTAAGAGCCATCTCCCATGCAACTTAAGAGAGTTTCTTGAGAGAACGTTTGGAAAACCGTTCCAAATGGTTCAAAATGAACAATTTTTCTAACTCTTCCAAAATTCACCAGAAAAAATAATAATAAAATAGGGGTGGTTTTTGGACCAATACTAATCAATCAACAATATTTTGGTCAAAATTGAAGGGAGTCAGGTAAAGCCTTTTAATTCAGGCTGCAGACGCTTCACATAGAAATTTAAAGTTTTCATCGTGATTTACTCATCAAGAGAGCATAAAATGCGTGGTAATCGAGCGTTGTCCATAAGAAAAAGTCTAAATTGGCCTTAAAGTAGCAGTGGTAGTTTTGAGAATGGTCTGTGAGGGAGTAATAGGCAACTCATCTTACTCCGGTGTGTGGCAAGTTCACCAATCATACAGCCTTCCAGTCATTTTCCAGTCACCCAGTCACAATCCAGTCAATTTCCAGTCAACCAATCATGTTCCAATCATGTTCCAATCTCTCCAGACAACCAGTCATTTTCCCAATCAGCCAATCCCTGTCCAATCATCCCCAGTCACCACCAGTCATTTGATTGGCAATCGGTGTACACATTTTAAGGGAGTTGCGGTCCCCTCGCCGAGGGTAGTGTGCTGACAACAGGGCCTCGTGCGTTGAAGTCTCTTTGGTTTTATATTTCATTGAAATTCAGTTTTTCTTTTCATTACCTGCGAAAGCGTGAGCATTTTTTAGACGCTCTGGTTGTTTTATTTAGCACTCATCTTCTTGGTTCCAGGAATGAATTTTTTTCTGAGATTTGTTTCCTGTTCAGTAAGAGCGGGAATGAGCAGTGGACCTTCATCAAGAACGGGCAAAAGTAGCGAAACTCACACTGCCCCATTGTAGTGTTTACAAAATATCAAAGGGACTCCGCACGACTGTTCATATTTACACAGAGGGCTCGCTTTCCACAATAGAAACAACCCAATACGCTGAATCGTTCTTTTCAAATATAATCGTTTAGTGTTTGCCGGTGTTTGCACCAGCTGCTGAACACTGCAGTCCAGTCCAGAGCAGTAAGATGCAGCCAGGATCATGAAAAGGATTTCGCACACGATCTAAAACTACACAATGGATGAAATTTGCGCAAAACTAAAGTGACAAGAGCGGCATATTTCTCGACCCCCCCCCCCCCCCCTGGTCCGCCCTCCCCGCTATGTCTCACCTCACCTACGTGTAAAGGCGGAGCTAGGAACCGGTGCACGGTGCACTAACTTTAGTTTTTACGACAGTATTTTTTTCTCTCTTTCCACCGTAACCCTGCGACAGTTTCTCAGAGCTGTTGCCATACCGACTGTGTGGTGTGGCCTGGTCCTGCCCATCAGAGCATGCGGTCTACCGGGTAGGTCGCACGGCCCGCGGGACGAGGTGCGGGAACAGCTGGGCTGGGGAGTCATGATGTGGAGGAGGAGCGCCACGAAGGACGGGAGCGCGTCCCTGGACGTCCCCGCGACCCCAATGGGCTATTTGAGGGCTCATTTACAGCCCGGCGTGAAGTGCGGTCCAGCGGGAGCGCTGAGAGTGGATGCTGCAACAGAGAGTAAACTCGACCGAAGGACCATCTCTCTGTAGCTCTGGATGAAACTAATAAAAAGGAGAAGACAGCGGCGGTCGAGAAATGTACGTCGAACGGTCCAGTCCTGTCCTCACCCTCAATGTCTGGCCGTACCCCTCGGCATGCGGACGCAACGGCCAGAGGAGTTCCATGCGTGTGGAATGTTCGCGACTCGTTTCATGCAGTGAGAATTTTTGTTTTGTCGCAAACCGCGCAAACCCCCCTTGGCCACACCTCGGGTCCCACGTCGCTCGTGTGGCGACGCCGGCCCTCTTTCTCGCCCACCCCTGGTGCTGTCTATTTGACGGCCCGAAAATTCCCGCAAGCACCACAACTACTTGCAGCGGGCGCTGGCGCAACCGGGTGCAACCCCGCGCAAGGACGTTAAATAGAAGCGCACTTCACGTTCGCATTGCACGACATTCCACGCAGGCAGGGCAGGGGCAGGGCCCAGCCTTCACAGCCTCCTGGGCGCCGGCCCGCAAGCGCGAGTTTCTGTTTTTCGGCAACGTTTATTACCAAATACTCAACTACAGCTCGTTAGTCTAGCGATACTCACCGCCACGCAGGAAGCTACGGGGGGGGGGGGGGATATCCGGAGCGCCCTCCCCCTTCTCATCACCGCTCCATCTCCCACAGAGGCCTCCTCATCCTCAGGCTGTTCTGGCGGAAGTCAACTCATCCGTGCGGCTGACGAAAATAACGCCCTCGGCGTTCCGGCCCGGGCCGCCCCGGGCGCCGAGGCGAGCGAGTTAATCTTCGTTTAATCTGTCGCCATTTGTCTAATAGACGCGGGCAGCTAATTGGAGCCGTGCCTGACGTGTGGAGAGGCGGGGCGGGGCCTTGTGAGCCGACACGGGCTGCATTTCTCAGGACCACCAACAACAAGCAGGAACAGCAGTGTCAGCAGAGGTGGCGGTGTCCCTGCAACACGCCACGTCGTCCTGGACAGGGTCGCATAGATATATTTGGCCCATTCTCGTTTGACAGAGAAGCTGCGAGGACAGCGGGACTTACTTCCCAAGTATCAGACATCGGACAGGCTACGTGTCTGTGTCTAGTTCCACACACCCTTCACATTTTGAGCACCTATCTTGTATGATTCTTGGGCAGTAAGTCCCTGTCATATTGCCGGGTAGATCACCTACCAGCCAACCAGTATTGAGAGTTGTCTAAAGTCTTCGGTAGTCAACATTGCAAATCGTTTTTCTCTATGTGATGGACTTTTCAAGTCTTACTCAGTCATAACCTCAACAACTCTAAAGTGACCGACTTCTGGAAGGTTAGATCGGGTTAGATCCCCGCCCGACTGGCTGACTTGCAGACTGCGTATTAATTACAAGTAAGGGTGTGAATCAAACACGGAAAAACAGACTTTGTTGTGGTTATCAACTCTGTTTAGTAGGCTAAATTCGATAGCTTTAATAGAGAATCCGACACCCACTACCAGAAGTTGGTTGTCACGACCGACTTGTACGAATAGAACAAACTCCAGGTTCGTCCAGTTTCGTTTTCTATTTGTACAAGTGTCCGGTCGTGACAACTAACTCCTGGTTGTGGGTATCGGATTCTCGATTACAGCTATCAAATTCTTGTGGTTGCGTCTTTTTGCGCGATATCTTATTTGTGCATTATGGACCTTCAGTTTCATTATTGTGCACTGTTTCTGGCGTTAGCGCGGGCGGCGCGCGCGGTGGGCGACTACTCAGACAGCAGGGTGTTCATTGTTGAACTGTTACGCAGCTCGAAAATGCAACAGGTGGTGTTGGATGTGTTGGATGGACGACCACGCCGAGGGATCTTTTAGGAGAATATCCGAGCACTGAAGGAGTGGGCCTCTATGTCAAACGAGCCCGAACGAGCCTATGTGATGGGCTTATGTTAATGGCATACATTGATTGCATCTTTTGTACTTTTTAGACAGTCCCTACGACTGTCTCTACAAGAAGGCACAGTCCCCCCCCC